GGCGTACTTCAGATGTTCAGCAGAGATGTGGTCCAGCCCAGTAGCCTTATTTTCAGACAGATTTCGTATTGCTTGGGAAACTTCATTGGTTTTAAAAGATTCAACAAAGTCAACCCCACTCACCAAAAACGTTTCACTGGGAACACAATAAAATAACTCACAGTAATGACGCCGCCAAAACTCAGCTATCTTATCAGGATCAGAGATTCCATCAATAGTATGAGGTACAGAGGATCTACTGTTGTTAATGCATTTGACATCCTTCCAAAATGACTTCATATTGTTCGTTATGAGTGTTTTCGCCAAAGAGTCCGGCCTCATCTTTTGTTCATTTTTCACAATAAACCAAATGGCATATTTATATTTCGCAGTTGCACACTTTTTAAGCTCAAATATTGGCCCAGATCTGGGTTTACCGGCAAGAGCCCAGGAAGTTGTAGCCTCCCGGGCTTCAGCCTTAAATTTGGCCACATAGGTGCTCCAGCCAGGCATAGTTTTACGCTTCCCTTTATCCCCGTGAAACGGCACACTCGCGTCCAACAGCGCCCCGACAATACCAAGATACATGGAAGAGATATCTGTCTTGTGGTTAGCATCTGTACAATTAGGATCATTACACATAACGGCCTCTCTAGGTAATGTGATATCGCGTAACCGCTTATCAGTGAGATTATGATGTGATGCTTTTCATTAATTTATGTATTTCCAGTTTATCAAATGTGTATGGCTCTATATCAAACAGCTTAGGGTTTGGACTGTTAATCTGACTAAACCAGACATTTAAAGATGTCGCTTTGGGCTGTTGGAAACTTACAGGGCAAATAAATATGGTGTTCACTTAGTACTCTTGACTAATTCTAAGTAATTTATATTAATCTAATCTAGATCATATATATATATAGGTTATAACTACACCCCACAAAAGAAAGTGTTACCCATTTTTGAAACATTGCGGTGGAAGGTTGGCACCAAGCACCTGTCAGTGAATTTGATGATATCTGGCAGGTTAACCACCAGTGTCATAACCTAATTATAATAATAATTAACCAAATTAAAGAGCACAGGTTTTAGTGGCTGTACATATTATTTTATATAAATAATCACTATCACACAGTGAAACAAATGCAGTTAATACATGTAGAAAGTTGAACCAGACTTTAAAACAGTGGTGGGAAGGTTTAACTAAATGCCTACTGAATTATCATGCACCCAGTTTAAACAAAATAAAATACAACCTCTGACATCTACCCTGTGTTAAAAGAAGCATCCATATTAGTTTACTAAAGCCCAGGCTGGCCTTCTTAGAGCAGCAGATGAGGGACCTGGGAGAGCAATTTGGATTCTCCAAAGACAGTGTAGAAACCATCCTCAGACTAGACGTTGTCCTCAGTCAGAAACGTCTAAACAGGTGATCATACCAGAGCTTATGGTGCCTTGGAGGAGCCTATGGGGGAGGCTAGAGAGGGAAAAGGGGAAGTGGCATGCACAGTGTACACTCTGGCTGTTGAAGTTGGGAGTAGGGGCTTTGTGGGAAAATCACTGTGCAAAGCCTACAGCTGGTATCACTGAAGCACGGGAAAGAAAACCCATCAGTAGAGCTTCAAGATGGCAGTGGGTCAGGAGAGACAAACTGTGGACCTTGGACACAGACTGGGAACTGATTACCCTCAGCAGGGTCACCTGGGTGAGGGCGTCTGAAGTTGAAAGTCCCCAAATGCCCGATGACCCCAGGTACTATCACT